TATATATTCAGTAGAACTAGTACATATTAAAATGGCTTGCCATAGAGCTGATACCGTGAATATACTATGGGATTATTTGTTGAATGGTAGTAGATCCATACCATACCAACTTTTTTTATGAAGCACTTTATACACCGACAGGACAAAAGTGCTGTACACAATCATGAAATACAATGCAATTATAAAATCAATGGATCTATTCAGGTGAAATGTTCTGGCAGCAGGTGAAGATGAAGAATAAAAACGTTGTTCTAATATATAGAACCTGTGCATCATCTCATGGGTTCCTCCTCATGTTGATTCAGTCTTTTTTTTTACACAGTAAATACTAAATGGCTGTTTGCAGCCATGCTTTGGATGTTATCATCCCAATAAATGGTCAATATTAGCCGCTATAAGTCCCATTGAATGGCTTCAGATTGGGCCAGTAGGTTGTTATCATTGAGTGAATCCTAATCCTAAAGTAGTTCCTTTTCCGCCATGGAATGATGACTGTTTATGTGTAATCTGAGAATAATTTCAGTAGTTCTTCATGTCCTGTAAATATAAATAAATAAAAATAAAATGATCTGCATCTCGCTCATATTAAACAAACCTTAAACAAGTAATCTCACATCCTGTCACTGGGTTGTAGAATCCTCTCCATTTAAATATTTAATTCTCTGTGAAAGTTCTTTAATAAGACCCTCTTCAAACGGACATGCAATGTTTGTGTTTAAATCCTAATGTGTGTAACGGACCTAGTGAATGATATATATATATATATATATATATATACATATTTTTTTTTTTTTAATGCCCAAAACTAAAACAAACATCGTACTAAATCAGGAAATCAAGCAGCGTGATTGGCTATAAGGAGAGTGGAGACAGATGATACTCTGAGTTTACTGAAGAAAACCTGCTGCTGACCAGGTTAGCTCCGGGTGGATGTTACTATGGCAACAGAAACAGAGGTAGAGAAAACTCTCATTGGGAAACGGAAAAGTCAGATTTTCCATTTTCAGGTTCAGGTGAACGTGCTTCATGAAACGGACTCCTGGCTTCCCCTGACAGGATGAAGGCAGGCCGAGTCCAAATGATCCCCAGAAACCCGAACCCAGGACAACTGGCCCGGAGGAGCAACACCAGCCAGGTTCTGAACCCAGCTCCTTCAGAGGCTGGACCACGGTCCATGGGGAGCAGCACATGTCTGAGGTCACATTCAGGATGGGTGACAGAGCGCTGAGTGCTGTTTCAGCCTACAGTGGCCTACTGTGACCCCCTGGTGCCACTGAGTCCCAGGAAAGTCAGTCAGAAAGGAAGAGAGACAGTATGAGCAATCATCTGACCTCCATCTATGGTCAGGGTTAAAGAGGGGGTGATGGCGGGGGCGTTCCTGACTATTAACAGATGAATCCCATTAATATTGGCTTCTGTTGGGGAGCAACAGATCAGATTTGGGATTTAGCCTTGAATACAGAAATGTTCTTAACCCTTTAAGGTCCGCACCAAGAAAACTGCAATGAAAAAATTTTTTCTTTGTATTTTTTATTCCTTTAGAACATCAATAACAAAGTGCATAACTTTTTTTTAGAAACACCCCCATAGTTTTTAAATCACAAGCCTCTACCAAACGGTTGAGAATTCCATTTATGGTAAAACTTTGCATACAATTACTCATAACAAAAAAT